AATTGCATGACCTCCAAGCACAGAACCCCTAACATTAGGGACATTGTAACTCAAATAGCAAAGCAGAGGCTTCTCTGGTAACTCGGTGGTCACGAATCTGCGGGAGACACGGGTTCAATCCCTAATATGGGAAGAACGCACATGTGGAGGAGCAGCTAAGACCGTGCTCCACAACTACTGAGTCTGTGCTCTAGAGCCCGGGAGCCATAACTACTGAGCCCACTGCCACGAGTACTGAAACTCAACTGCCTAGAGTCTGTGCTTTAGAACAAAAGAAGCCGTGGTGATGAGAAGCCCGCCCACCCACAACTAGAGAGTAGCCACAACTGAAGAAAAAAAGCCCGAGCAGCAAGGAAGATCCAGCACAGCCAAAAATAAATAAATCAAAGTTTTAAAAAACACAATGGTTTAAAGAAATAATGACAATATCCTGTTTTAAAGTAGGCTGCAAATAATTTTATGGCAGATTCTTGGCTACCAATGGACTTACAATGAGAGCAGTGAAAAAATACTTTTACTGTTTAACCTAAAAAAATAATAATAGTTCCTCTTTTGGATCTTACGCAATTCCTCTAGCCACAAAAGAACAGTGTGTGTGTAATTTATATTATTTTTAAATTTCCTCTACATGTGTTGGGACCCATCGAACAGAATTGCGTGATTCCAACTAACGATCATCAGAGGGTTAGTTGGAATCATCAGAGAGGGTTCTGTTATCACTTGAAGGCTTAAGGATGATCTGGCCATAGAGTTAATTCAGTCACATATACGTAAATCTCACAGACCCCCAAACAACAGAAAAACCTTCAGCCATAGAACTATGGCCACCTAAGATGAAGCTAAGACTTTTTTGTAAATCAATATTTGAAAAATAGTAAGATCACAAACTCATCTTGATGAAAACCAAAAGCTTTATTCAGTCTTGTGAAATTCACAAGACTTTGCTATTTTGGAGTGAATAGCAAAGGGTACAGCATCGTGGCAAGAACAAGCTAAGCAAATTAAAAATGAGGCCAAGCTAGTTTCCAGGCCCTCAATTTCCGTCCCCCAAGTTCTTATTCCTCTCCTCTTCAAAGTCCTTTTCAAAATCAAGAACAATGATAAAATACAATACTTTTGAGATTATTTGTTGTTTTTTTTTTTAAACCAAATCAGAATCTTGACCCAAAGATTAAGGCAATATCTGGTGGCTATTTGGAGATTCAGAGAGATCACAATCTTGAACACTGACAAGGGCTCTTGTCACATCGCTTCCTGAGTTTCATCAGAGGATGAAAAAGATGAGGGGAATAAAAGGAATTGCAGAGAAAGTCATGAAGCTGAGCCATCCTGTGGGCTTCTCAATCGAGCAGGGATGCTCTCTGGGGAGGAAAATGCAGCCAACAAATTTGTTCAAAGAACCATTTGGAAAATTGCTTCTTCCTAGAATCTTAAAAAAATAAATGGCCATATTTCATTCTGGAACAGTCCATTTTTAAAATTTCAAATGAAAGAGTCATTTCATTCCCAAAGCCATTAAATCCAGTAATATCCATGTGTAAGTAGTCTTAGGCAACGAAAATCCTGGGATTCACACTATCTTCCTTCTACAGATATCTATGGATCATGACAACTGTATGGGAAGATTTAACTAACTGAAAGCAAACTTTGTGCTGAAATGTTTTCTTGGAGAAAGGCAATGACCATGCATTTTTAAAATAGAACTGAATTAACTATTTATATGTACGTTCCCTCGTCCCCATCTTTTTCATCTTTGTACCCTCATGGTGCCTAGCACTGAAATAGGTGTTCAATAAAAGTCTGTCAAATAAATTTCTTTTTCTTCCTGATGCAGGCTCTCTCTTCATCTTTTTCCACCCCCTGGAGTATAAATGTCTTCCTCTCCCATACTTAAGATCTCATTACCTGACTGTTCTTCAGTTAAACAACAGGAAACTTCAACAAGAATGAAATCTTTACTGATAACTAAAGGGTTAATGAAAGTGCCTTTTTAGTTATAAAAAGTGGAGCCAAGTAGTTAATAATGAAACCTAAGAGGATAATTTATTATAGATCCATTCAAAATAACCAAGAAGAAATGAACAGCCAGTCTAAACTTGTAGGATGGCATGGATTAGAATGAGGCTTTTAGGACTAAAGGGAATCTTAACACCAGGTCACCAGGCCTGGTGTCCCCATCCAATCCAAACTTTACCGAGCATCCCTTCTGTCTACCTCCTTCTGAGTTGGTCCCCCTTAGGCTACCAGGTCACAGGCAAACAAAGTAAGATAAGCAGCAAGATCAAAGGATGTCAACAAAATGTGGAGGTCAAAGCTCTGAATATGAATTTCCCAACACTAATGAGAGTAACAGTTATCACAGTTACTGAGATCCTGAAATCTTCTTCCTAGCCATGATCAGTACAGAATGCAATGAGGGCCATGAAGAGTCTGTGTCCATTCTTTAAGCACTACCTAGAAAACCTCATCATTCTTCTTGAAGGTAGAGCTTAGAGTATAACGGAAATGGGAATCGCATCTGACAATTCAAGGTAGTTAGAGCTTTTTTAACATTTAAAGTCCTTGTTTTTTAGCCTCTCACTTTATATTGCTTCATTCAAGGAAATCTGGCAAGTCTTGGCAAAGATGTGCCAAGGAGCTCCATATGCTGCTAGTGGGAAGGTAAACTGGTGCAACCACTTCAGAAAACTGCTGGACAGTATCTACCAAAACTAACATATGCCTCTCTCTATAATCTAGGAATTTGATTCGAGGGTATCATCCAAAGAGAAATGAGTGTTTCTGCCCCCAAACATGTAAAAGAGTATTCACAGCAGTGTTATTACTTTTCACTACACAAAATTGGAGACACATACAATGTTCTTCAACAATAGAATGGATAGATTGCATAGTCTAGTCATACTAAGGAAATAGCACCTAGCAATTGGAAAAAAAACAAAAACAAAAAACCACAATTATTAAGAACAAAGTTGAATCTCATAATCACAGTGCTGAGTGAAAGAAACTGAACATTTTAAAAAACACATAATAATGGTTTGGTTTACATGTAGTTCAAAAAAACAGGAAAAAACCATGGAATCAATAGTCAGAATAGTAAATGTGACTAAACCAGTGTGATTCTAATAAAATTCACACCACTTTTTTTCCTCTCTAAAAAAAGTCAGAATAGTGGCTATCTCAGGCAAGGGGGTGGTAAATCAGAGGGGGCAGAGTTTGAATTGCTCTGTATCTTTATGAAATAATGATTAGGCAGGTACCTGTGTATAAAAAGGGCTTCCCTGGTGGTTCAGCTGGTCAAGAATCCACCTGTAATGTGGGAGACCTGGGTTCTATCCCTGGGTAGGGAAGATCACCTGGAGAAAGGAAAGGCTACCCACTCCAGTATTCTGGCCTGGAGAATTCCATGGACTGTATAGTCCATGGGGTCACAAAGAGTCGGACACAACTGAGTGAGTTTCACTTCACTCACTGTGTATATAAAACCTAATGGAGTTGTACTATTAAGATGTGTGCATATTTGCTATCTGTAAATTATGCCTCATTTAGAAAAATCTGGAGAGAGATGTAGGAATTTCTGAGATTGTCCTGAAATATAAAAGAATTCAATGCAGCTTATATACAGTTGCATGTACTGATGTTTATACTTTCCCAAAGCCTTTGCATGTGACTGAAAAACCCACTTACCACTTCATGTTATACATAACAGAAAGCTAACTTTTTGTAATAGACTCTGAAAAACATATTGTACTGTACATTTAAAATGTACATATTTACCAATTAACAGAGATGTTTAGGAAATACAAGATGCTTTTCTACTCTTTTCCCTCTTATGTTTCATTTTTTTTAAACTCTATAATTCTGAATTATTTGAAACAAAAGCTACTGGAAATAATTCCTGCACATCTATACTGCAAGTATTTTCTCCATGGACCACAGAAGATGCAAGACAGACTGACTGCTAGGGTTTGGGAGTTGGAGAAGACACAGTCAGACTCCCTCCCTCGACAGAGCAGGACAGGCGGGCCAGGGGCAGTGAGTAATGGTCCCCCAAGGCTGCAGAACTAGGATATGATCAGAGGCTTCCTAGCCCCCCAAACTCTGCCTCCTTCACCCTAAACGCAAGTCAACCCTCTCCTCTTTCCAAACAGATGAACTGGATCTGAAGAGGATTTTTTTTTTCCCCCGGTAACAATTGTGCTATCCAGATTATTTGGGAACAGTCAGCTGAGTCCTTGAAAAGCCTCTTGGGGTTTAACGCCAGGATAAAAATCGAGTACAAGAGGAGGGGGCAGCGGGTATTTTAAGATGTAAATCCCGTTTGCATAATATTTCCCAAAGTATCTACTCATTGATCCAGTCGACATTCGGCGGGGTGGGGGATCGTTACCCGAGATGACTCGCTTTGGGGAGAACCCGGGCGCCTTTTCCCATTAGAGTTCACTCCCGATATCAAAACCTCAAAAGAAGAGTTGGAGACGCCACCCAGGAGTCTGTGGTACCGGGGTCGGCGCACGCGAGGTCCCGGCCCCCCGGCGCCCAGCTCGGGGCCGCAGACTCGGGCGGCTGGCCCAGAACCCGGGCGCGCCGGGCGGGCGGGGCGGCCCGGGCCCCGCAGACACCGATTCGGCGAGGCCGCCCGCGGGGTCGGGACGGCCGGTGGGGGCTGCGGCACCGAGCCCGACCGGCGACGCGAGATCAGCGGGAGAAGAACGCCCGGTGGGCCCGGCTGGGGCCGCGGGTGACTTCAGGGCGAGTCGGGAGGGCGCGGAAGAGGGGAGGGGCGCGGGAGCGAGGGACGGAGCCGGGCGGGGAGGCGCGCGGCGGCGGGGACGGAGGAGGCGCGCGCCCGGTGCCCGTGCCGGGTGGGGGCCGGGGGCCGCGGGGGCTCGAGCGGGCGAACGGGGCCTTACCGAGCAGCGGCAGCCGGCCGCCCAGGCGCGCCAACGCCGGCATGGCCTCCGGAGCCCGGGGTCCCCAGGCCGCGCCGGCCCAGCCCTGCGATGCCGCCCTCCGCGGCGCGCCCCGCGCTGCAGGTGGCTCGCTTAAGGATGCGCGTCACCGACCGCAAATTCCCTCGGACTGGTGCAAAGTGGAAAGGGGGGGAGCATCCCTCTCCCCACCCGCAGGGGCTGTGCCGGGTCGCCGGTGCCTGGCGCAGCGCTGCGGCCGAGCCCACGTGCCCGCCGTGGTCCGCAGCCCGCGCTCCGCCGCGCCCGGTGCTCCCCAACTGTGGCGGGGGAGACTGGGCGCGGTTCCACCCGGGAGGTCGCAGGGGCTCGGCGGCCCCCGACTGGGGAGGAGGCACGACCTGAGCTGCCTACTCCCCCACCCACCCCGCCGGGAGTCCCGGAACCCTCTCGATGAGCGTGGGGACAACTGAAGCCAGCCACCGTCCACCTCGCTCGGGAGGGGTTTGAGGCCGCAGGATGGGCGCTACAGCCGCGCGGCACGCGGACGCCCCAGGCTGGCGCGCGGGCGAGCCGAGGGTCGCGGTCCACGCTGGGTGGATCCTAACTGCGGACCCACGTTCTTTGTGTCCCCCACCCCACTCCATCTCCTAGGATGCCTAGGATGCAGTCCACAGCGGCAGCAAGAAAAACAGGCTCGGTTTCAATGTCAACCAAGGCAATCAGGGAAGCTAAACACCAGCCTTAGAAAAAGCAAAACACAGGTCATCTCGGGCTTTGATTTCTGCACTCATAATTCTTGTTCTTCGTTGCATAATATTTCTACTTGAAATTATTTACTTTGCAATAAGTTGAAGATTGGAAATCCCGGGTTGTCAGCTCTGAGTCTTTCTTTAACCAGCCCTTGACCTTCACAAAGCTACTCATCCTCTCTGAGAGTTACCCCACCCGCCACCACCGCACCCACCCCTTGCTCACCAGTAATGGAGCGGAATGGACCACGCGGCTTATAATGTCTCCAAGTTCTAGCAATTCCACGCTTTTCATTATTTCAATCATGTTCTAATCAAGCGTGATAATTGACATGTGCATTCTTGGCCATACAGTCCTTTTCCTTAGCTGTAGTCTAGAGTAGGAAAATTTTCTCCCCTAGAGCATGACAGAAACTTGAAACGTGGTGCAGCCACTGTGGAAAACAGCGTGACAGTTTCTCCAAAAATTAAAAATAGAATTACCATATGATCCAGCAATTGCAATGCTGGGTGTATACCCAAAAGAAATGAAAGCAGGGTGATGAAAAGATGGTCTGCACAACCATATTCTAGGAACATTTTTAACAAAACCCAAAAGATGGAAGCAACGCACACGTCCATCAAAGATGAATGGATAAACAAAATCCAGTGAATGGATAAAAATGGTATATACATACAATTGGGACATCCCTGGTGGCTCAGCGGTAAAGAATCCGCCTGCCAATGCAGGAGACCCGAGTTTGATCCCTGATCTGGGACGATTCCCCTGGAGAAGAAAATGGCAACCCACTCCAGTATTCTTGCCTGGAGAACCTCATGGAACCTGGCGTGCTACAATCTATGAGGTGGTAAAGAGTCAGACATGACTTAGTGACTGAACAACAACAACATAATACAGCTAGGATCTTATTCAGCTTTAAAAAGGAAAGACATTCTTTTTTTTTTTTTTTTTTAGGAAAGACATTCTGACACATGCTACAACACGGATTAACTTTGAGGGCATGTTAAGTGCAATAAGCCAGCGACAAAAACAGAAACACAGATTCTACCTGTATGAGTTCCCTAAAGCAGTCAAATTGTTGAGGCAGGAAGAACAGCTGGGTTGGGGTCAGGGGTTGGGGAGATGGGAAATGGAGAGTTATTGTGTGGTGGGGACAGAGTTTCAGTTTTGCAAGATGAAGAGAGTTCTGGAGATTGGTTGCACAACAGTGTGCATGTATTTAACACAATTGTACATGTAAAAATGGTTAAGATAGTAGCTTTTATGTTATGTGCATTTTACCACAATTGAAAGTTAAAAAAAAATTTTAAAGCATCTACCTTCGGTAAGACACAACTAGAGAAAGAGACATTAAGTTCAGTGAGACATGAACAAATAAAAGTGGTGAAGCAGGCTTGGATGGGAAGAAGAGTGGGCTAGCAAGCCTTCCAGTTGCCAAGATCCAAGGCATTACCTTTATAGCTTGATCACTGCCTTCAAGGAAACTGATGGTTATAAGTTTGCAACAGATCTGCTTGGGTGGAGCACTGTTCAAGGATACAAAATCAAATCAATAGTGCTGCTTTGCCAAAGAATCTTAGATACAAAGCAGAAAACTGTAAGAATGGAAGTGAGAGAAACATGAATGGCTTCTTTGAACTCCTGATTCTCCCTGGAAATTGCTGGAGAAACATAATTCTAGAAAGAGCAAATTTTATAGACTGAAAATCTTGGAGTATGAGGTATAGTCTAACATTTTAAATTTTTTTAATTTTTAATTTTTTTTAATTTAGTTTACTGAAGTATAGTTGATTTGCAGTGCTGCTTTAATTTCTGCTGTACAACAAAGTGGTTCAGGTATACATACATATATATGTATATGTTCTTTTCCATTATGACTTATCACAGGATGTGGAATATAGTTCCCTGGGCTATACAATAGGATCTTGTTGTTTATCTCTTCTGCATATAGTGGTTTGCACCCAGTAATCCCAACCTTCCAATCCACCCCTCCCTCTTCCCCCTCCCCCTAGGCTAACATGTAGAAGGTGAGTCGATCATTTCCGGAAGTGTACCCAGAGCTCTGTCTAGTATGATACCTAATTTATTTGTCACAATGACACTCAAGGAAGCTAGTCCGACATTATCTGGAGTCCTAGATTGCACAACTAGTCATGCACAGCGTTGTATAAAATTTTGGTTCCAGATCCTGTGACCTGAAGCAACCAGGAGGAATGAGATGAAGGGAGAAACGGGAGGAGAGAAGAGTGAGCTTGTTTCTGGGTTGAATGGAGGGTGTTGCATTGGCCCTTTGTTGTTGTTTAGTAGCTAAGTCATGTCTGACTCTTCTCGACCCCGTGGACTGTAGCTCACCAGGCTCCTCTGTTCATGGGATTTTCCAGGCAAGAATGCTGGAGTGGATTATTGTTTCCTTCTCCAGGGGATCTTGCAGACCCAGGGATCAAACTCACATCTTCTGCTTGGCAGGTGGATTCTTTACCACTGAGACACCAGAGAAGCCCATACTGGCCCTACAGAGAATCTATTTTATCAGGATTCTTATTACCATAATGCTTAGCTACACATAGCTATGCTGCACAGTAGTCCTTCATCTCATAAGTGTCTTTCCAGCTCTTAAATTACACTAATCTCTCTCTCTCCTCAAAAACTGCGACATATTCTCAATGACTATAGGTGAAATGCCTTGGTGAAATGCCTTCAGTCAGTCAGTCAGTTCAGTTGCTCAGTCGTGTCCGACTCTTTGCAACCCCATGAATCGCAGCACGCCAGGCCTCCCTGTCCAACACCAACTCCCGGAGTTTACTCAAACTCATGTCCATTGAGTCACTGATGCCATCCAGCCATTTCATCCTCTGTCGTCCCCTTCTCCTCCTGCCCCCAATCCCTCCCAGCATCAGGGTCTTTTCCAATGAGTCAACTCTTCACATGAGGTGGTCAAAGTATTGGAGTTTCAGTTTCAGCATCAGTCCTTCCAATGAACACCCAGGACTGATCTCCTTTAGGATGGACTGGTTGGATCTCCTTGCAGTCCAAGGGACTCTCAAGAGTCTTTCCCCAACACCACAGTTCAAAAGCATCAATTCTTCAGCACTCAGCTTTCTTCACAGTCCAGTTCTCACATCCACACATGACCACTGGGAAAACCATAGCCTTGAGCAATGGCACTTTAAAAATACAAAGTGCTGTAGTTTGCTGAAAATAAGGGACAAACAGAAGGACTGTTGGAACAGGATTCCTGTGAATTCAGTTGAAATATCGACTACATATAGTACAGTTTTACTTGTCTTTTATCAATAGAGAATTCAAACCCACCAACTGGCAAAATCTGCCAATACCAAACATTAGCAAGAATTTGAATCAATGGGTAACTTTTGTCCACTGCTAGCAGGAGTCTAAATTGGTATAAACACTTTGGACAATAATTAGCCATCGATTACTGATGTTGAGCATCTGCGCATCTTACACTGAAGTTTCACCCCGGATATACATACACCTTAGAGAAAGTTTGTACACATATACTGGGAGGTATGACAAGAGTGTTCATTGCATGATCATTTCTAATGTCAAAAACTTGGAGACAATCCAAATGCCTGCTAACAAAAAGATAAAGTGGAGTCTATTCATCTAACGTACTGATCGTATACCAGTGAAAATGAATGAACTACGGTTACAAGAAATGGCATGGATGAATCTCAAAAGCATCATGTTGAGAGGGAGAGAAAGCAGGTCATAGAGTAATAAAGGCAAACCAAGCAATATTCTCTTTAGGAATATACTCATAAGGGGTATAAAGAAAGTGAAGGAATAGCTGTCAGGATTGGACATCCCTGGTGGTACAGTGGATGAAAATCTGCCTGCCAATGCAGGGAACACAGGTTTGATTCCTGGTCCGGGAAGATCCCTCATGTTTCTGTACAACAAAGGGCCACAGCTGATGAGACTGGAGCTCGTAGAATCTGTGCTCCCCAACAAGGGCAGCCACCACAATGAGAAATCCTCACCTCTCAACAAGGAGTAGCCCTGCTCAGTTACTAGAGAAAAGACCACCTACCAACGAAGACCCAGCATGGCCAAAAATAAGAAAGTCAGAATAACGTTTACCCCTAGAATGGGGTGAAAAGAGATTTCATTAGTTATTGGCAATACTCTATTGCTTTTTACCTTTTGTGATGGATGCTGGATATTCATTTTCTTCTTCTTCTTTAAAATATAATTTTTATTCACTATAGCAGTGAATAATATATTTCATAGTAAAAGAAAACTCATCTAAGGTGTCAGTTTGACACATTTCCACCTATGAAAAAATCTTATCTAAACAAACAAAAACTATTTTAAGGTTTTAAAACCCCATTAAAATTCAACTACCACTTTATAGGAAACACATGGGACAATGGAACATGGTAAACAATGACACAAGGATATAGTCAGAAAATTCTGGACCCTAGTAAACTTTATAAAACAAATAACCTGGTTTCATCAACAAAAATTTGTAAGAAAAAAGAGAGAGTTTGAGGCATGACCTACAGTTTAAAAGAAAACGAACATAATATCAAGCAACTGAAGTGTGCAATGTGAAGATTTTATTTGACTTCTGATTTAAGCAAAGTGAAAAATATATAGAGAATAATCAAGTAAATGTGCCCATAGATTTT